TGGAGGCTTCAGTAATTATAGAAACATCGAAACATCATACCCAATTCCAAAGTGCAAAACTGATACCTCGTCTCGGACCAACCGGTCAATAGTTACACCCAATTCCGATCAAAGCGGCTCAAAACCCGGCTCAAAAACCATACTCTTTGACACATACCTATTTTTGACATATATCTTATCTAGACGAGGAACCCCGGGCTTTACATGCTTTTCCATCAGCTAGTGCGGGCATTTACATTTGTGGGTGGTTTAAATCTGTAACATGCAGACAGGAAATCTAATTTATCTCTCTTATACCCTTGTGTTTATCAACTAAGCATTCATCAAGTGAAAACAAGACGTTTTAAACGGTCTGTGTGTCATCCATCTTCAAACTCTCGATCAGGGAGGAGACATGAGAACTGACAAACAGAACCCGTTTGTGGCCAGAGATTTTTGTGGTAAAGATCAGAATACACAGGGCTGATATGCGTTCAGACCGCCGACTAGGATATGGAAAACATACTGGAACGAAAGTCCGTATTAAATAAATCAGCAACTGCCATAACTAAATGGGTATAGTGAAACTGCTTGTACAAGCATAGTAATTTCTGGAGATGGAGCAAAAGAAATACTTGAGGGCGTGAGTGATCTTGAGGGCTTTGTATGCGGATCATGTAATTTCATTAACAAAACCGTCGTAATTGAAGATCTAGAACACGAACTGCTCTGTATAAAGATGATATGATATATTAGCAGAAAATAACACACTTACAATACTTTGTCATCAGTTGGGAGCGCGAAGGCGTGGATTGCAGCAACTTTAGTCCACACTACGCCAGGGAAATTTGAAAATGCAGCTTTATTTCTACGGTTAGGCCTACCGTCCACACTAATCACGGTCTCCAAAACTGAGCTTTTCACAAAGGTTCTTCAAACCGGAGAAATTTGAAAACGCTGGCTTTGCGTTTTAATAAGTGTGGACGGAAAAATCGGAAAACATATTTTGAAAACGGAGCTTTTCGATGACATTACGATAAACATGTGATTTCCATGCCCGGATTTTCCTCAAACACAAATCCAAAATGACCGGTGATAGGAAATAGCAAATTTCTTCCGCAGCGTGGACGGGGCGTTCAAGTATGCATGGTCTTCCAATTTCATCAAATTTTAACGATGTGGCCGTGTATTTTTAACACCTGTTGATGGAAATGTTTTGAGCACCACTTTCAATAACAGTCAGTGCTTTTTTGTCTCGTGCCATCTGCCTTGTAACACGAACAATAAATACCAAGTCCAAAGTCCAAGTCCAATAACAAATTGATCAACTTACTCAAATTCATCAAGTCTAAAATCCGCCACAGAATAGCTCAGAATATTCCCTTTAAAGGTATTAGGAAAACAAATACACCATGCGCGCGTCCTCAAAAAGCAGATCAACCAAGATAGCAATTCCCCGGCCAACGCATTTTAGCTGAATGTCATACTGTACTGATTATGTACACATCAAAGGCAACCTCGATTTTAGATTTTAATATAGCGATTTATTATGCACAAATGTTTTCTATCTTAAACATTATCTTAAAACACTATAGAAAGGAATTTCATTATGCAACTAAATTGACTGAAATCAGCCCTGATTCACCAATAAGCATTTGTTGTTAAGTGCGTCCGAGAAAAGCTGTTTCTTAGCAAAGCAAATAGTGCATAGAAATGCAAATGCAAATGTTTCTACCAAAACATAGAATTTGGTATGATTGGAATCACCTGAAATAAACCACTTTCCACGCTTTTGCCAAAACGATACTCTCACTCGATTCATCTTCTCGATCAGAGTTGGACCGTTATTCCGTAGTTTCTTTTCCTAGGTACCTCTGATTTCATAGTAATAATAATAAGCACGGTCATCGTTCCGGTTGCTTGCTTAAACATTTCATAATATGAGATGTTTTCAGATGTTCCTCTTCAGACAATATCCACGACTTAGCCGGCGTGTGCGTAAATAGACGCCAAAAAAAATTAGGTAACTAACAACAGCCTTTTAGCGCAAAGGTAGCGACAGGCCGTCACCTCACATCTGCCAGCAGTTCTTCCGGTAGCCAGTAGCAATACAAGAAGCGTCCTAGGTGGTTTAAAATCAAAGGAAACTACTATTTTTATTTGTTGGGAGAAATCCTGGTTTTTTGACAAAGTAGCATTTATGCGACTTGAGCTAATACCTTATATATAACTGGTTGGAGTCAATGATGGTAATTAATGGTAATTAATCGTAATTATAATTTAATTTATGAACGTAAGCAGGATTACTATAGGAAATCATATTTTATTAGGACTGCTGAACTGTGGGACTCGTTGTTATCCAGTATTAAAGCAATTAATTCATTCACTACTTTTAAGACCAGCTTAATTAACATTTATTTATCAAAGTGAGGAATTTATAGTCCTACTGACTAGAAACTAAAAAGGTTTGATACTTATACAATAATTAACCGGTATTTGTCACATTTATTTTTGCTTGTATTTATTTTTAGTGTATATATTAAGTGTATGTTGAGTTTATTAGGGGTTTAGATAGCAATTGGGGCGCTAGTTCTGTTTCATTCCCCCATCCATCCCGTACTATTTTGAATTTATTTATTTGTCTATTTCAAGTTGGTTGTTTGCCTATTTGAATGCATTTGTTCTTGTGTTTTGGTGGCGAATTCAATATAATAAAATAACGTACCGATTTACCATTTCGAAGAAAAAGAAAAAGTTATATATTTCTTCTGCGTAAGAAAATGTCAAGGAAAAAATTTAAAACGGCTCTCTGTGGAGCCCTCTAAACAGCTCTTTTCAGAGCCACCACAAAAACAAGTCTTCGTTGGCTTTAGTCCTTTTGTCGTTGTTTTGTTGGTGGGAAATTGGAAATGGAAGTAATATCCATGTCATAGATTTCCACGATACATATTTAACCTATAATGATGTGATAGGGCTTTTTCAAAGAAGAATGCCTGGAACCCTCATATCATTTGACTTAAAGTCCGTTTTGGTAAGGCAAACGTTAGAAAGAGTAGCCTACAAGACTTGACACTTTTTGGAATATTTTCTCGTTAGTACTCTTGCCCGGATCATTACCTTGCGAGCAGCATTAGTCTCAGTCGGGAAGAAGGCTTTCTCTTCTAGGAAGTTTGATGGAGACTCTCCTCGCAGGCCGCTAGGGTACCGAATCATGAGCGTTTTGACAGAAAAACGTCCGAAACTGGGAGTGCAGCAACCTTAACCCCGTCCGACCCCAGGCTGTACGTCTATGAGCAAGGATCTGTTTAGTTTTCTTGACTGCCAGTCCAACAAGATCAGAAAGGAGATTTACGTAGCTGAAAGCCTTGATTGTAGACAGAAATAGAAATCTTCCATATTTTTGTGATGGTCTGTGCATCATCTCGGTTAAAGAAACAGAACTTTGACTTTATCTTCCAAAAATAGCAACCATACTGGGAGGCCGCCCTCTTATCACGCCCTTTTGGTCCGCCCCGCTTTCCTCTACAGATACCGCCGGGATAATATGCTATCAGATGGAGTCTCTGTTTAAATCATTTGTCTCTACGATCATCAAAAAGAGAGCTCTGGAAAAAAGGTCAAGAATTCTAATGATAAGAGAAAGAAGGCGGCTAACAAACCGTTTTTCATCAATCAGTTACTTGCTGTTTCGCACATGCATTGTAACTGAGGCAACTATAAACATGAAGGTTAGACGGAAACAAACTGTTTCTCGGGTTGTTGATGAGCAGAATGGTCTTGTAAATTCAGTATGCGACGAATACGCCCCGGATGTTTAAAAACCCGGCTAGAAAAATTTGTCTACGTAGGATAAACACACCCCCTATTATCATTCAACCCAACACGATTCAGCCCAACACATAAACTAAATGTGATAATTTCATCTAACTAGTCTGTATGACTTGAAATGAAGTGATTGCAGTATTTCTTGAGGGAATATCACCAGTTATGATACAATTGCATGTAAAAGGTAATTAAGAACACCTCAGTTTTTATCCTCCCATACAAACATTTTCAGAAACGATTACTCAGTACTGCTATTCATCAGGCGAAAAGGAAACCTTGAGCTAAATTTAGAACAAGACTCCAGTAATTCAAGCTCTCCGTAGTATAAAGGAACATTTTCTCATTTACTAATTTATCTCAGGTTATGCATTTTTCATTGTCACGTTTCATCCAGTCACGTATTCTGCAGAAGAATTAAAATTCCGAAAGTAAAAACATTTTCATTTTGACTTTCGGCGAGTCCGGAGACATTGGGAACTTGCTACTAGTCTGAGGTGGATCAACTGTGCTGGTGCAATAACCGGTGTTTTAGATGACCATGCAAGTGTCATTCGTAGTCTTGACTGCTCTAGTAGCTGAAAGGATGTTCTTGTTGAAAAGATTACTCTCAAGAATTATGTAGTATTACACCTCATCAGAGCACGGATAATACATTGCCTCTCGAACAGGGATTACCCAAAGCAACTTAATTAGATTGCTTTACCTAAAATCAAGTTTGGACGTAGACTTGCCACAAGTCGACCTTCCCTTGTTAGTCTTGTTCATCTCCCCCTAGCCCGCGAAGAGGAGTTTTGTCGCCCTATCCGCGCCTAAACTGCGTAGCAGAGCATCATCGCAGTTTAATCCGCGCCATAAGGTCATATTGGACTTTGGAACAATTTAGACCCCTTTTTAAAATCAAGCTGTTCAGTTCAAGTTTTTAAACGTATCTTAAAGAATAAGCTTTTAGACAATTTTGTAAATACTCCCTAAACTTCATTTATTTTTAGTATTTTTCGCGACTACAAAGTTTAGATAATGTTGTAAATGTTTTTTTTTTTTTTAAATTTGATTAATTTTGATTGTGTAGTTATTAGTAACTTAGTAATTTAAGTAATTGTTCCTGAAAAGCCCCATTGGGGAGGTAACAATAAAGTATGTATGTATGCAAGGTCTCATTTGAGAGACTGGGACGGAATTTGGAAATCTATTTGCTAAGACTCATGGGACTGCGATGTTAATGGGGTGTGCAAAATGGCGGCGAAGGAATTCATATTCAGCGAAAATGAAACGGGAGTTCCTGGTTTGCCTCTTTAGCGAACGTGATGGCGGCAGAAATTGGTGAAGTAGAACTAGAGGACGGGGAAATCAATGATTTAGAGGATGGCGAAATAGACGAAGATATACTTCATGTCGCGGAATCGAAAAACAGTGTTTTCTTGCCTCTAGAACGTCGCTGCCAACGCGACTCATTTGTACGTGATCAACACTTAAATGATAATTCCTACGCAGAGAAAAACCGAGATTTCGGTTTTCAGGGTTCTAGCCCTCCACCTGACAGGTGGGAAACTCGCGGTGTGTCTTCTTCTCGGGGAAGATTTCCGCGATCCCGCGCAAGTGCAACGGTGAGAGGAAGCAGAACAAGAGGAAGAGGTTTTCGTGGAACTGGACGACACATGATATCCACGGGACGAGGCAAAGCTTTCCCTGCGAAGAGAGGCAGTACGCGTTCGCGTATCCTTTGGTACTTCATATTTCAGTTTTGCACAGAAGTCTTGTAGTAGGCTGATACATGTAGGTCTTTGATCGTAATTATTGTAACTTAAATGTTACGGCAACGCCATCGTTTTGTTGACTGGTTTCAAACAAGAATGTACATTTCTATTAGATTTCAAGAGATATGGTTGTGCATGTATATTTGTACCAACTCAAGGTAAACAGATCACCCTGAAAATCAGTTCAGTAATCAAGCCATCAAAGGTGTCTTGAATGCTCTAGTGTTGCGTCCATAGACTTTGTATAGCTTTTGTTACCATTTCATACATGTAGAAGACTCAATCACTTTGATATTGCTGGTTTGCTTGTGTATGGTTGGTCTTAATGTTAGCATGCTGGACTCCGGGTCAGGTAATGTGACCTTGGCCTGAGTCATTGTGTTGTGCTGTTGGACAAGACACTTTACTCTCACAGTGCCTCTCTCTGCCCAGGTGGATAAATGGGGTAACCCAAAAACACTGACCCCCGGTCCGCAGACCCCCACTACGGACCGGGTCCACCAACTACCTATGGACCGGTCCACGGACTCCCCCAATGGACCCCCTCTATGGACCACCCCCCAAAATATAATAAAATTAATAAATAAAATATTTCAGTTTCGGGTTGTCTAATAGATTACTCGTGACGGCGAAATTCCGAACGTTACATTGTAAAATATGTAACAGACCTNACGGACCGGGTCCACCAACTACCTATGGACCGGTCCACAGACTCCCCCGATGGACCCCCTCTATGGACCACCCCCCAAAATATAATAAAATTAATAAATAAAATATTTCAGTTTCGGGTTCTCTAATAGATTAATTGTAACGGCGAAATTCCGAACGTTACATTGTAAAATATGTAACAGACCTGGGTTCAGGCTCAGGTGCAATTTAAATCATTACACATTGCTATTTCCTTTGCTGTGGCCATAAGATATACGAAAGACACGTATGGGGAAGCCTCGGGGAAGCCTCGAAATTTGTGCTCTTTCCCCTCGGCCATTTTGTTCAGCCCATTTTCCTGTGGGTTTGTGAACTTGTTCCAGGCTTCCCAATTTGCTCAGCGGAATAACAGATACAAACAACAATTAACAGCCTAAAAATATATCTTCCATAGCCAGATTGAGCCATGAATGGAAGGTAAGAACTTTCCTTCTTACCATCGGCATCTCCTTATGTTGAAAACAGCTTTTAGGCATTTTATTTTGGGGATGGGGTGGGCTGTTAAAAACACAAGTCTGTTACATTTGCACAGTGCAACAATCGAAAAATCACCGACACGAGTCTGAATCTATTAGACAACCNCGGTCCGTTGTGGGGGTCTGCGAACCGGGGGTCAGTGTTTTCGGGTTACCTGAATAAATGGTTACCCTGTGATGGTTTAGAATCATCAACAAGTCTTGCAAGACCTTGAGTGGAATACACGTGCAAGGAGATCACTGCATGCTGCCTGGTTGTAATCACTGTCTATGTCGCAGATATGTCCTCAGCATATGAGAACCTTTACATATAAGTTGCCAGCTTGGACCACTTTTTATCCTTTTTATTGATCATATCCTTAATAACACTACTATATACAGCCTTTCCTCAGAGACCTAACTTGCCACATCCCCCTCCTGATGAAAGACTAAGGCCTCCATATAATATTATTGACAAAAGAGTGCTACCACATCCTGATAATGAAAAAGAAAGGTTGCCATATTCTCCGCCTGACATCCGATCATGGACTCCACACCTTGAAGAGAGGGGGCTGGGTTATTCTGATACTGATCGGCCAATACTGCCACATACATTCCCCTTTGATAGGGAGAGAGTACCTCTCATGGAGTTGGAAGACAAATCCAGATCATCACATAATGAAAAGACAAATTCTGATCCTGTAGAGCTCGATGAACAACCCAGAAGATTACCATCTCCTTTGGACGATGATGTTGATGATTACAGGATCTTACTGCAGCGACATCGCCTTATTCAACAACATCTTGCTGCTCTTGAGAATCAAGAAAATTCAACTTTGGGAGATGATAATATCATTGACGACACTTTTGTAGATATTCCAGTTGAGGATACACAATCTGATTTGTTGCTTGAAAAAGAAAAAAACTTAGAAACATTTAGTGATCACCTTGGTCAAACTTACCAATTAGATTATAGGAGGCAAGATGATTTCCAGTCACATGAAGATGTGAATTTAGCATACTTTGAAACCAGCAGTGAAACTAATGATTTTGATAAAAGAAATGAACAAATGGATAATGAAATGTCTGGTGAAACTGGGACACCAAAACCATTTCTGCCATTTAAAATTAAACCACGCTATGGCAATGTTCCTTCTATCAAAGAATTGAGCCAACAAGATCTCGAACAGAGGAAGGCAAAGCAGCAAAGCACAACCAAGGGTAATGGTTCAGAAAATAGTCAAACTCTGTCACAGAATAGTAAAAGAGAGAATCTTTCAAAAGTCAAGAAGAATCGCAGAAAAAGGAAAAGAAAGGTATCACAAAATGCAAGACAGAGTAACATAAACAGTCGACCAGTTGGAGCTACTGCATCCAACCAAAGCTCACATGTTGATCCTTATAATGAGCTGGAAGCAAGGCTTTTGTCTCTAGCAGGAAGCTCTGTTTCAGTCGAACCAAACAGGTATGAAGAGTTGAAATAACATATCAAACAGCACTGACTTTAAGAGTCAGTCATAAGCAGCAAACAAGTGGGATGGCATTTTATTTGTAAGATGATCTACATGTACAGTAGTGTTGATATACTGTAACTACATGTAGACCTTACTGGATCTGAGTTGAATAGCATCAAGCTGGACCTAAATGAGAAATTCAGATAGATTTCTAAATAATGCACACAGTAAGATGTGACTTAGATTCATGGTGATAATGATGAGTTGGTGTTATACTGTAAGCTTCTGTGTCTTAACTATAAGCAGTGACTTTTCTTCAACATTATGAGGAACTGATCTTGGTCTTTGTGGAAGCCATTACAAGTGTAAGGTGGCTTGCAATGGATATGTACTAGTTACATGGATAGTAGAGATGATTCTAGACATCCTTTGTTGAGAGTTACAAATTTAGAGTTTCTTTCTTTGTTGAGGGTCATTGCCAGAGTTTCCAATAAGTTTCAATGATTTGCTATCAATTTATTTTTAGAGAGGATGCCAACAAAAAACGAGAAAGACGTGAAAAGCTCCGTCAGTGGCAAGAAAAAATGAGTAGGGAGAAATCTTCAGATCTGAGAAATCAACAACCTGGAAACAAAGGACGAGGAAAAAAGAAATTATCAAAACCAACCAAAGATGACAAGAGAAGGTCTAGCTTTCAAAGTATGAAGTCAGATGAAGACCAGAAAGACAGGGATCCACACAGAAGGACAATGAATTCTGCCATCTTTGAGAGTGATGACTACTTTGAGATACCCATGGATGTAGAAAGTGATTCAACAGGTGAGTGGAGAAATGGAGCAACTGTATTATTATAGCTTTATATTCCAGGTGTAATACTGTTTATAAGAATGGCTTCCATTTGAGTTTCAAATGTTTGGTTACATTCAGTTTGCTACAGTGTAGGGGATTAGTTTTGAAAGAAATTGACTCATTCCACACTCAAATGATTTGGCATGAGTGGAAAATCAGGACTTAGTTAAATACATGTAGAGTCTGGTTTGAAATTATTTTTAAAATGACTGTTCAAGGAATTGTACTTTGTTTTGCTGGTAATAATAACCTTGCTACAGTAAGACAGATCAATGTATTAAAAAGTTTTATACACAAGTCATAGAAGTACGAGTCCAGAATAAATTTGCAGTCATACTCTGAGTTCTTTTTATTCAGATGTGTTTTTTGCTGGAAAACATTTGTCAGTTAACTATTAATTGAGATGATTCCATTAGTTTAGGTTAGTACTTGTAAGTGTGAACTACATGCAATGTATGATCAAAAGGATGTGTGGCTGAATGCTAAATTCAGTTGCTCTGTATCTTTCTTAAGATGGCCCAGCCCTTCCACTGATAGATGAGTCAGCTGAAGATTTCCCTCCACCACCGCCGCCATTACCCAGTGGAGACCCAGGTAACTACAGTTGTAACTTACCCTAAATATTAGTACATGTAAGCTACATTTAGTAAGTTGTATGTTGCTTACATGTATTTAGGGTAAGTTACAAAACCAAGGTAATCTTTCTAGCCAGTCACAAAAGACACTAACAATACAGTCATGTGATAAAAACTCAAATTAAGTAATTAGACGTAGCCAATGCAAAGCACAGGAAACAAGTGTGAGTGAGTTATGATTGGTCTTGGTTTGACCTATGATCGGCTGAAAAAGTGGCATGAACCTTTTTAAGTCAGTTGTGTTTTGTAGTTGATGCAAGACCTTTTCAACACTCAAATGAAAACTGCTCTTCTGAGCTAAGCAATTGACCTAGAAAAGGTCTTGCTACTTTGTCTTCCAATCAAAAGTAAGATGAAAACAAATCCTGACTTGCTTGCACACGTTTTCCCTTGCTTTGTGCCGACTACATGTTACTACTGTGATTTGATTTGATTTGATTTGATTAGTCCACTGGATTGTCTTTGCTACAGTGGTGACAACCTGTTGATTAACAGGACAAACTTCACCAGTAAAGTAGTTCATTTACGTGTGTGCTAATGTACAATGTACATGTATCCAGATCAGTTGGTCTGTTTTATTACTAATACTATGATTAGCCTGTACTGTGTTTTCACTGTCTTTGTCTTCTTACAGCAACTTCTCTTTATGTTGAACCTGGGCAACATCCTGTAATGGTGAGTTCATGTAAATCAGTTGTCAACATTTTCAGCATGTTCAGTGAAAATATTCCACTTTGTGTTCTCCATAAGGTTTATTACACTGTTTAGAGCAGTTTTCATTTGAGTGTCAGAAATAATCAGGCAAATGTAAACTGGTTGTGCTACAGTTCAAGATTGACTGACTAGTCTAACTGGTAAGTTATTGGTTTGGGTTTTTTCAACACTCAATTGAGAACCGCTCTAAGGCAAATGTGCTTTAATGTCAATTCATTTCCCTCAGCTGATCAGCTTCTTTGTTCTTGCATCTTACATGTCTGACTTTGTATTGGTAAGGAGAAATGAGCTCTATGCAAAATCATTGTTACTCATGATTGTCAAAAGTAGCCAGCTGCCCAGGAAAAGAGCTTTCTACTTAATTCATGATCTCAGCCCACTATCCTGCTGGGCTTATTCTTCCAATTCTTTTGAAAAAGATGGGAAAATCTGCTGCATAATCTAACAATCATTGCAGCCACCTTGAAAACTTTGTGATTACTGTAGCTCTTATAATTGAATTCAAGAGACATCTTCCATGCTTTAGCACTTGGCAAAGTTATCTTTTGGGTGTCTTTATCAGCTATTTCTGATTGATTCCATTTGATTTGGTCTATCTAATATTAGGGTGGGGTGCAAGATATTCTATGTGTCATACATTATCTTGTTAACTGTCCCTGGCCCCTCAACCCTTCATAGATTTTAACCATTTGGTAAAGTGAAATGGAATGCATCTTAAGCTTAAAGTGCCCCTAAAATCAAATTTTCCGTCTTTTATGNAAGACCTAAAGGATGTTAAATGTTTATCATTGATAAATGATTATGCTAGTGAGCATAAGATGGAACCCATCATTGTTAGTAACGGTGGATTTTCTAATGTGGCTGCATTCAGCTTTAAGATTACTGTACAATACATAACGTATGATCAATGTCTTCAATAGGTGTAAAACAATTACTTATTTACATTGAGAAAATATGGGTCCATGCACACCCTTTTGAGAGAGCGTCTGCTTCTTGTCTTCACAGGTGTATCCTCCAGAATATTTCCCCATGGAACAGGTTGTTATTTACATAATTTACATGTTACTATAGAAGCACACAGTAGAGTAGTGTTTTTAATCATTTCACACACATGTAGTTTATTTTGACCAACTTTCATTTTTCTCTCCATAACTTTACAGAAACATGCTGGATAAAAGAATGATTAATAACCTTCTACCCCATTTACTTTGGATTGTGGTATTGCAGTATTTTTCATGCAAACAAGTGAATCCTACTATCCATCTCAAACTAGGAAATTAAAGTCCTTAGATATAGGATTATGATAATGTTATTATTTCCACAGAATTACACTGATTGGTTGGGTGGTGCAGTGCAGATAATGCCAGCAACACATGATGACCAGCAGTTTCAATATGGAGGTATGTTAATCACAAAAACAAATAATCTGATGAGAAAATAAATTAAAATGTTTAACGAGGAAGCCACTTCAGCTGTACCTGGTTTTCTTGTGGGTCCTCCAACCAGGTTGAATTCGAATTGGAAAAGTTGGTTTTTCAGGGGGGTGGAAAACTGGACTAACAGGAAAAATTTCTAGGGGGAAAAGCGAGAACCAATAACAATTTCAACCCAGAGGTGGCACCACAGGGCTGTCAATAAGGGCCGCAACCCTTAACACCTGTTACAGCTGAGTATGTTTGATGGACCCTTGATGTTTTGGGTGAACTGGCCGATAGATGATACAATTCACTCATAAAGTAACAAGTTTGCTATGGGTGTGAAGATCAAGGCTACAGGTGAATTACTGTAAAACTTAATGACAGCCCTGTATTAGGCCATAATTTGAACCAGTATGGCAAGCCGTTTGTAGCAAAATTCAATCCTTGCAATATATGTTTAATCCTTTAAATAATGGTTTTNTTGAATCAATATTCCAGGTACTGGATTGAATCATGAAAATTAAAAGATTGAATTGAACCAAAAATTTTATTTGCCATTGGATTGAATGCCTTTTTATATGTTTAAACAAAACCATTATTTAAAGGATTAAACATATATTGCAAGGATTGAATTTTGCTACAAACGGCTTGCCATAAACCAGGCCACATCGGTGGGAGGCGAACATTCTCACCACTGTGCCAACCCTGCTCCCCTAAAAGCTAGATATTGTCCTGTCATAAAACACATCAAGCTTCGAGAACTCTAGAGAAATGTAAGTATTCATGGCACACACTATAGCTATAGTATCTTAACAAGAAAGGTGAACATCATCACCAGAATTTAGTATGGTAACGTCTGCATTTCATTTATGAAAGTGTAGCATTGCACATACTTGATACTGTTTGAACAAAATATCTGGGAGTTTGTTTGAGCAGTTGTTTGTATTTTTGTAGCAGTCATTGCAAAATGCCCATGACCAAGGTGTAGTACTTGTAAATACAGAGAAGCTGTTAAATTGTGTGTTTCATGTTGAATATGATGTGCCTTGTAAGCGAATATGTGAAAGACCATATGCTGTATCCTTAAATTTCACAGCTGCTTAAGTTGTTTGTGTAACTGCGAGGTCAATCATGTCTTCACGATGTGTATTGTTAAAGAAGCACCTTAGTTTACTTCTCCAATGCATGCAGATAAAGTGACACTCTACTACACAATAATATCATAATTGAAGTTTGGGATCATTTTGTCTTGTTACAGAATTTACAAGCCATGAATCATATCCTGCTGAGATTGAACGAAATAATGAACAGCCACCGGGTGAGAGCAGGGATGCGTCAAGTCAGGATAATTCTGATGAAGATGATGAGGCAGCCCTTAGGGAGCAGCTACTGAAATCCTTAGCAGTTAAACGGAAGACTAAACTGGATGTTGGGGTAACTAGAAACTGTGATCATTACAAATGTATATCATGAGTTCCGGTAACTGGCAGATTTTTCCATCCAGTAACACAACTGTGTGATGTAAGCTATGTTGTTGAAAGAGCAAGTTGGTGGAATGGCTCATTAATGGAACAGCTCCAGGTATCCCAAATTGTTTCAATAACTGTCGATAGGAAAGAGATTTTGTCTCATGTAGAAATATATGTTTATTTAATACTGAACGACGTTCTATGTTTGAGTACAGAATTAAAGGAACTTACATGTATACAGCATGCTGATAAATGTCAGTTGAATTGACTTCTTTCTATTGTAGAAGGATGCAAGCTCTTCAATAAGTATGTCAGTAACCAGAAACCAGGGAATGCAGTCGGCAAATACAGCAGCTAACAACAGAGTGCATCAAACAAAACAGCAACAGACTTCTAAACAGGTAAGTACTTGTAAGCTTTAAAAATTCCTCTCCCTCCCACCACCACTTTACACATTCAATTGTTCTAATTTGACTCCCTGTTCTCTATGAATTTAATGCATCTCAATAGTCACAAATCCTTCAATTTTGCAATGCCTCTAAATTTGAATTGGTTTCTTCATTATAAGTATTGTAGAGTATTTAAATCCTGACAAATGATTTTGACAAGTCCTCAAGTTTCCTAGCCTGTGAACGCAGACAGATTTCCCGCTTTCATTTCACACCGCCGAAAATACCATTGCAAAATTCAGCATGAAACAAAAGCCTGAAATCCATCTGTGTTAGCAGGCTATGAGTTTCCTTGCTCAATGTTTAACCCTTGCATATCTTAACACATGTAGGTATCATTTGTCGCACCTCCCAAGCATGATCCTGTGGTGATTAAGCTGGGTGAGGATTCTGACTCAGATGAGTCAGATGCGTCAGATGCAGAACCCGCCAAAAAACCAGCATCTAAATGCTCTGGAGGTGGAGGCTTATTTGGAGGACTAGAAATGATGATCAAGGAGGCTCGCAAGTCTGCTGAGGTAACTTAAAATGTAACTGCATTCACCCTTTATTCACCAGAGTGGCCAGTATCAAATTTGTTCTAAAATAACAATTACATTTTTTGTTATATGGCTTGCGTTTGAAGCCAATATAATGTGTACTCTGATTGGCTAATTCTAAGGCATTATTCTCTTGTAATGCCCAATGGCTTATTACAGGCTTGCAAAAACAAAGCAAAAAGTCCATATAATAAACAACTTATTAACCTCCAATGTTTGGTCTTTACGGGAAAAATCTCAAACGTCGACTTTGCCGTATTGACCTTGCTATCACTTGGTCAATATGGCAAGGTCTTGGTTTGAGATTTTCCCTTAAAGACCTCACTCTTGGTTAAAAGTAGTTATTACTGCAGCTTTCAATAACATCCAAACTCTGAAGTTCAAAGCTAACTAATGATCACATTTCTGGCTGCCTTTGATCATAATAAATTTCAATGACAACCAAAGATTCCTGAAAAACAACAGGCAAAATCAACCAATCACAACCCACAGATGAGACCTTTTGAAGCTGTTTAAATAAAGTTCTGTTTCCTGAGAGGTTCACTGAGATGATTGACAGTACTTAGCAAAACATGAAACCATTGACTGAGCAGAGTTTGTGTGTTGTTGAAAGGTGCAGTTATTGCAGGCTACCGCAATCCTATAAGAATGAATTATTATATGAGGTTGCCATTACACATGCTTAGCATGTTAGTAACAAATATTGAGTACATTGGTCTTCCACTGAGAATAAACTGGATGCAAAGAGTACAAGTTGATCATCTTTGTTTTGACCATTAATTGCTTAATGCCCCAAATATGGGTACTTCAAATTATTCCTTGTGGTGGTAATGACATTTTGCACTTTCTGTGAAACAAACAATGTACATGGGTTTCACATTTACACTGAAACATTAAGACTGATTCAGAACATGTTAATCACAGAGCAAAGAAAATGTGGAAACAAACTCACAGTTACTGTATATGCATCCATGCCTTAATAAAACTTTCATATGAGTTACCAAACAGTTGTCATCACATTTTAGCACTACCTGAGCATGAGAAGGTGGCAAACATAAACACTGACATACAGTACAAGTACATGTACATGGACACGACTCAGGACTGCATAATTTATGTGCATTCTTTTGGCTGCTCTGCCTTCCTAGACCAGGGAATTTGAATGAAACAGCAATTTTATATCCTTATCGTTTAGGCTTCTAAAGTGAAAGGGACAGCGTCACCACAGGCAACCGATACAGAACACCAAGACAATGAAGAACTACCACCGGAACCAAAGACTCCAGATGCAATGGCCCACATGCCTGAACAAATGAAGACTGAGTACAAGAAGCTGAAGGAACAGTTAGCACTGCGTGAGAGTAAAACAAGGCAGCCACTTACTACTGTTAATCAAGAAAAAGGTACACTGTACATGTAGGAAAATGAACCCCAAACTACAGAAAATGTTTAGTTGTCTGCTTAATCACACAAGCTGCAAGCTTAATTATTTATCGTGTTTAAATAAAGGTTACTTACTGACTGACTGACTGACTGACTGACTGACTGACTGACTGACTGACTGACTGACTGACTGACTGACTCATTCACTCACTCACCCACTTACTTACTTACTGCTAGAAGCATCAAACTGCATCAGAGAAAAAAAAACTACTGAACATTCAGTGGCTTTTGATTGAATTGCCACCCATTACAGTTCCATGCACACTTCTAGAGATGCTAGAAACAGTACTGGATAAAAGTATAGCTTGTACCTGCATGGTGCCGGAGTGAAATGACAGCTAACTGTTAGTTTTCTGATGTTCTCCTTTCTAGTAGACAGTTCTCCATTGGTAGAATCTGAGGATCAGGTACAAAATGCGACAAGAGATGACGACAGTCACTTGAAAGATCTATACTGTTTTGTTACAGGCTGTGAAGAACACTTGTCCAAACACAAGTGAGTTGTTATCTTGTTGTCTTAAGGACAGCAGTATTTTTAGTATGTCTGTCTGGTACATCATTTTTTGGTGATTCAGTCTGCAAAATTGAAACTCTGAAATACAATACGTGGCAAATTCATCCTGCGAGCTCAACTCCAATCTCATCATTCATATGTACTCAGCTAAATAATGTGCTGCTGCATTCTGCCACATTACAGTAGTTGCTGTTTATTGTCTACTATAGTGAAACCCGTATTAAGTGGACACCCTTGGGACTTTCACTAGTGTCTGCTTAATACATGGTGTCCACTCTAAACAGGTTCTAATATTCATTGCACAATATTGGTGTGTAATAAAAGGTAATTATTAACCCTTTTGTAACACAGTTTAACACAGTGTAAGATCAAAGACTGCTCAATGCTGCACAATGTCCAATTAGTCAATGCATCAATGTGGAATAATCTACTTAGCTATAAAACGATATCACTGAACAATGTTAAAGGAGTCTGAGCCGAGCTTTTAGAACTAAACAGCCCTTGAAGTGTCCGCTTATTGCGGGTTTGTGCAACAAAATGACTTATCTTGGTTTCTGTGTCCACTTAACAGGGGTGTCCGCTGAATGCAGGTTTATTTTACAGTGAATGCGGGAAGAAAATTTAGGGACACAAGCTGGTGTCCACTTAACAGAGGGGGTCCGCTTAATACAGGTTTAATACAGGTTTAATACAGGTTTAATACAGGTTTCACTGTACATGCATGTGCTTTTCTTTTCTTGATTTAGGAAAGTCATTGAGAAAGACAAAGGCATCCTGAATAAAATGGTGACAGAATTGATTGACAAAAAGCGATCCCTTGCAGCCCAGGAAGAAATTGTGCGCAAACTTCAACGGGAACTTGAAGCTGCACAGAAAGTTACCCTAGCCAACAGAATGCTTGTAAGCAGGCTACAAAGTAAGACAAAGCTGGTAAAGGAGAGAATCGGGGACAAGCAGCTGGCAGCAAGTAATTTTGAAGAGGAGCTTTTAAGAGCTAAAAGTATTATTTCGGCAGTGAAAAGAAAAATGCCTATTGCAGGCAATACAGGATCTGGAAGAAACAGTCCTCAAGTCGAATCATCGGCTAGTGTCAGTTATGAAAACCAGAAGTTTACAATCACTTTTTCCACTGCTCAGGAAATTAAAAACTCACTAGATGCAAAGCTCAACAAACTATCCTCTTCGACAAAGCTGGAAAACAGAGAGAAAAGGAAACTGGAGGGTGCCAGTGAGTCTTCATCAGAAGAAACTGTAAGTTTCTTAGTTTCTTGACCTGTCATTTATTGCTAATATCGTTCACTTTAAGGTTAACTATGTGACACTGAAGATATAAGCTACGTCATGCATGTATAAAATTATTTGAACTGCATAGGAAGGAACAAAGCAGAAAGAAATGATCATCAGAAGTTATCCTCTCACAAGGGATGCCGTCATCCAGGAATTGCCATTTTCAGGAGGTGCCTCTTTTAAGAGGTGCCTTCTTACATGTGGCTTTTAGGAAGTGTCCACCTCAGAAGTGATTGGTTTCAAGGTTTTCTTTGTAGGGGACGTCCTTTTCCAGCAGGTGGCTGTTGTTATAGGTCCTGCTGCTTGGAGTTGCTCCACTGTTGACATTATATTTTAACAACCCTCTGCTCTTCCAGTCTTCTAGGGGGAAACGTGTCACTTCAAATTGATACACATAACTGTACTTCTAAGTGTTCTGAGAGAACTCCATACAGTTACTGTACTGCCAGTCAAAAAAAAATTATTACAAAGCCTTGTCATTTTTCACTAGGTGGCCAAAAAACAAAAAGGTGTTGCTCAGGGAAGCCCAGTTTCATCAGCACCCAGCACTCCGAGGAAGTCCGCCACAGCTGAACGTATCGCTCAAGAAAAAGCCAGGCTTAAAAAACTGGAGCATGAGCTGTCAGAAAAGCTAAGGTTATATTCACACAGTAGACAGGAGGATGAAGGGAAAAGCCATTCTTCAGTGTCACCAAAGAAACCATCACAAAATAACAAAGACATTTTTGATGTCACTGGAACTGAAATAGAGGAAAAACAGCCTGGTCCAGATGCTGCAATTAGTGATAATTCAACTCACGCTTTATCAGAAAGACAGGATGTGGATTCAGAGCAGAGTAATCAGTTGTTAGAAAGACAGGGAGCAGTTGTCTCAACTAAAGATAGTGAAAGTGCAGAGGCAATGGAGTTAAACATCAATGCCCAGCAAATGGAACGTATCAGAAAATTGCAGGTGAGTGTCCCAATGTATACCAACTGTAAAAGCCAAAGCTACATGTACCAGGAGTTGTATTTGCACCCAAGTTGTCTATGTTGTATTATATATACAGTGGAACCCTGTTAATCGGGTCACCAACAGGTCACTGAAAGCTGGCTGCACATGGGGTTCTTGGAATAAGAGAATGACTGACTGAGCTTTTGTTTGGGCTAGAATAAAGTGGCCACAAAAATGAGGTGGCTGCTAACATCCTCTCCAGGGGAAGTAGACTGAATTTCTCCTAGATACTTCATGCTATGGAACCAGAGATGAGTGTTGGCCTGATTGACCACCAGGCTGGAGTGCATGATAGAAAAAAAATCTTATTCAAACAGAGAAAAACAATAACCAATTTTAGTCTATACTGTGGAAAAACAGTGTACATGTATCATTCTACTACTCCCCAGCTGAAAAATGCAAAACATAATTATAGGTACACCCCTTACCTTTGTTTCCCTCCTTCTCTACCTTCTTTAATTGGAATTGTTGGCAGGAACTGATTTAGTCTCTGCAAGAAACATACATTCCTAGATACGGACAACTGTAATACTAGACACCATTTTGGGGAAAGTGGAGGAGAGGAATTACCAGCCTGAGGGCTATTTTGGGAAGCCTATCACTTCTATTTGAAAAAACAATTTGCTAATTTATTTGCACAACTATTCTTAGGCTGAGAAGGAAAAGAAAGTTCCCCAGTTTTCTGCCTCCGATCTTGATGACATCCCATTAACAGCTCATCAGCGCTCTACACTTTGTGTTTGCTTGCCCTTTGGCTGTGAGCTTAAAAGCGTTGTGACAGACCAAGACGCTGGCGGCCTGTGTGGAGAGGAACACAAAGGCACCGGAACTGTAACAAGAGTGATCACCAGAGGAGATGGTGATGAAGTTTTGTTATGTCCTTTGGAAAAGTACCAGAGTCAGCTATTACACTTGAAATCTTACAGGTAAAAATGTAACTGTAAAATGTAGTGTTATTGGACCAAGACAGAGTCAAGGTCCATGAACCCCCCAAAAGTAGTCCCTATCCAGCCATCTTGACCTAACAAGCTTGGTCAATAAAGGATTTATTTGTTATATGGAATAAAGAATGCCCCCAGAAAATGATCTTTGCTCTTGGTACACAGTGCGTAATGCCTGCTCAGTTAGCCAATCACAGTGCAGGATTTGGTTCATTTTGCCCACTCACGGAGCTATTAATCATAGAATAAAGAAAATTAAAGCAGCATGTTGTTTTGCAGATTGAGCCCATATTTCAGAATCCAAGGTGGATATTCTCTAACATCTCTCACATTCTCAAACAAACTGAATCCTCTCTGGCCTTTGTGCAACTTTGACCTGCAAGGCAAGTGTAATGATGAGGACTGTAAATTCCAACACGTCATTACATGTAAGCTTTCTCAGGAAGAAATGCTCCAGGATCTGGCCGCATACGACCCAAACCTCACAGTGGATTGTAAAGACTTGAAGGAAGTGCATGAGCATGTGGAATGTTTCACAAAGGCTTTTACAAAACAATACCAAGGCAAGATGTCATGGGATGAACTTTGTATATTACTGGTTAATGAAGTTAGAAAGCACAGGAAAGGGAGTGGACCTTTTAATGTTTCTCTTCAACCTCGAGCCTGGCAGTTGCCACAGACAGAAAAGAGACAAGTAGAATACATGGAGGATGACAGTGCAGATGACATAGGCAAGGGGATTGTTTTCTCTAGGAAAGATCAGTTGTATGATGCAGTTTCACAACCAAGAGAGGCTGTGAGAAATCAAACAAGGCCTGCTGGTGAAGAAAGGTGAGATAAATGTCCTGCCTTGATGGTCTAGACATACATACGCATGCAGCAGTCGTGTCTGCTTTTTGTAATACGTAGTACTTACAACAATTCAGCGTAAATCATTACACTTACAATGTAGTTAATACTCTTCAACATGATATTTGCAAATACCAAAGGAGTGGAAATACTTTAGTTGCTTTATGCTACAGAGTTCTGCCACAAGCTCTGGCTGTATGCGTTACTTGGTCAGATGCAGACTTCACCTTAATCTCCTTATCTTGGCAGACATTGTACATGCTGAGTGTAATGCTCTATGCTTTCCTTTTTTACAGTCAAGAAATACGCTACTTTTTGGAAGAGTACAATAACATTGAAGCTCTTGAAACATCACTGGAAGATTCTCCTGGTGACATAGCTTTGTGGACCAAGCTAGCTAGGTTAAAACTTCATCAAAACAGTGATGATACCCATGCTGAGAACAATATTAGGCAGGCACTCAGCACACTTGCAAGGGGATTAGAAGAGAATGCACAGTCAGAGGTGTGTTGATGAGTAGTAAATAGATGTATGCCACATTTGGATATGTTATAACAGCTATAATATGTCAAATGGATTCTATGTGAACTCTGATTGGCTAAGAAACCATGTTATTTAAATTCACCATGTTAAAAAGAGTTGAAATCTAGGTTGCTTGTGGGACATAACCGGGGCCATTAGAGTTCTCATCTTTTGTTTTGTCCCTAGAGGTAAATAATTGTTTTTCACACATATAAACCATTTAATAAAGTGTGTAAAGAGGCTAAAACTATGGACTATTTTGTCAATGAAATAGCTGATACACTGTCTTTTATCATTTACACAACTTAATGGAGGTGTCATAAGGTCAAAATTGTTTGACCATGGCCAGTTAAGACCGGTACCAAGTATTTCAGTTTAGCGAGAATTGAACTTGATCTGGTGGAAGCTCGTGGATGTCCCAGGCACCTAACCTCCATTTTGAGAATCAGTTGTGAACTTTGGGTTTACTTTTATACCACAACCACTTTTGCCATCATTCTGAGGGGAGAGGGGTGGGGTGGGGAAGGGAGGAGTAACCATGTGCATGCTGTGCCTGATTGTTACATAAAGTGAATGGTGATGGTTTTCTTGATGGTTTTCTTGATGTTTTTTTTTTTGTACAGGAATTGTGGTTAGAGTACTTGGAGCTGTATTCCTCACAGAGCAACAGAGATGAGCTCAGAGAGATCTGTGACCAAGCTGTGGAATTTTCACCAACCTACAGTGTTTGGTGGAAGTACCTGGAGTATTCACAGACATACCATGACAAGAGGACAGTTTGTTTACGTTTAATTTCCTTCCTCACAGGGAACCCAGGAGATGCAGGAGAATTTCACTCCCACTGTATTCTTGAAACACTGCTTTATCTTGTACAACTAGAACTTTATTCTGGACATTACAAGTCAGCGCTGGCTGTGTTTAAGGCAGCTATAGCTAAGAAACCCAGCAGTTGCAAAGAGGTCCCGGAATTGTCCAACCATCTGTTGCCTTCTGACTTTTGTTTGGCCTGGTTGGCATATATCCACGTCTTTGAGTTTCACCGACTTCCTGCTGCTTGGTTTGATCCCCGGCATGGCAAGCCGTCTAGGATGGTCACAAAAGAAGACTTTGTGTTTCCATGGAAACCATCTCAACAATCTAGAGCTCCTGGGGAGAAGCTGCTGGTAATGTTTCAAGGTAAAGATACCGCTTTGCATTCCCTATCATTTTTAGTTGCCTTGCGTGAAGAATTAACAGTGACTGTGACAACCTCATTTTTTTGGCCCAAATTAAAGCCCATTTGTTCAGTGTGGCCAATTTGATCGTTTTCTTTCCTGGAACCTCTTGACATGATCTCATTTCAGTGCTCTAATGGTTGCATTATAGAGCTGGTAAGTGGTTCCACTCTAAGAACAACACCCAAACATGTCATATTGGGATTAATTGACTAAGAGTTATCTTTCTCCTCGAATCAGATGCATTAAAAGCTTGCAGTGTCCTAGCAAAATCTTCCTCGGACAAACCCAGTATTTGCCTTCCATTGTACAAGAACCTCATCGCCCTGGAGAGAGCTTACGGCAGAATCGACTCTGCCAGAGGAATCAGTCGCCATCTACTGAAGGACAATTCCTCAGCGGTAGTACTGTGGCTGTGTCTAGCAGCCCTTGAAGACTCCACAGAGAAGAGCAGAGAAGCAGAGCAGGTGTACCTAGAAGCACTAGACAAGTGCAAGGGTCATGCCGAGTTATCGTACAGTGCGGCGCGGTTTTATCTGGAGCAGGTTAGTCTTCAGTTACGATCCTGTGGATATTTATTATGAATTGAATACTTTGAGTACAGTGCATGTGGTAAAGTACAATAGGCAAAAGTGATTGTGTTTTATTAGTGTCATGAAGCTTTGCTGCTGTGTCTTCTATGTATTGGTGACTGTATTGGTCCCTAGCTCCACGATAGGTTTGATAGCTTTTTTTTGGTTTCAACATTCTAATCACACTGAGTCTCAGAGTCAATCTCAAACTTGAAAACAGTAAAAAACGACCTATCATAAGTGAGTATTGTTAGAACAACGAACCAAAAGGTTGATTAATTTAGGTTGCTAGTTAAAAAGTGTGTTTCATTCCAAACTCCAAGAAGTGTCAATATTCAAAATCATTTTACCTGGGCATTATCAGATATAGTCTTTGTTTCTTATTAACCTTACGAAGTGCTTGTGCCTTTCCAACAGAACGAAACTGAGAAAGCAGTGTCAGTTCTTGTGAAATGTGTTCGTCACAAGTTCGCAGCAGTGAATGCACCACAGGACAGTCAAACACACAGCTTGGCCACTGTCTCTTCAGATGACCAAAGTGCCGATCCTGTGGCACTGTATCGCAGGCTGCTGTCACAGCCACTCCCATATGACTACAAGTGCCCTCCTCTGATGCCAGGTGTTAACTCACAGAGCCTGGGTCGAGAGAAGCTCTTTCTCTGGTTGTCTTACTGGTATGGGCTAATACATATGGGTTATTCACCAAGCGTGAGGTCAAGATGGCTGGGTATTGCATTTGGCCAAGTTCTTTTTTTGCGTGTTTATGGACCAAGACAGAGTCAAGGGTCATAAACTAGCAGAAACAAGAACAAGCCCAGTTTCAGCCATCTTGACTGAACAAGCTTGGTCAGTAGAGAATTTATTATAAGTCTTTCCGGGAAATTTTTTTCTCGGGATACAGCAGGTAGTCCTGAGTTTGCAAATAGCGCCATCTTGCCCACTCGGGTAACCAATAACAGCGTAGGATTTGGTTCATCTTGCCTGCTCACGGAGCTAGCAATATAATAAGTGAATTTACACTGTATTTAGCAACAGCATTCTTCTTGTTCTATAGCATGCAGCGAGTATGAAAAGTGTGCTCTATCCCTTTACTTTTATTTGCTGTTGTATGGAGAGCTGTTGCTTGTTTTACTTCAAAACCTGGCTTCGTGTGAGTCACTCGTGAGACTTGCGTTAGTTTAAGCCAGTCTTGAGAACATCTTGTAGGTAGCTTCTTGATTTCAGTTCCTGTGTTGCTTGGTTTTTTTTTTAGCTTGTTACTGGAGATATCACCGCCAGCCACCTCCATGTGGGACAGTCTGTCCGCAGTGTCAGCATTTGAGACAGCTGTGCATAGTCCTCTGGAGAGACAAGACATACAAACGCTGTGGACTGAATACCTATTCTACCAGAGATCAAAAGCCTTGCAAAGCACGCAGTCCATGGATGAGTTAATAAACAGGTGTTTAATGTCGGTCAGCACACACAGCTCCTTGCCTCATTCTTCAAGCGCTGTTTGGCAGGATTACAGATTTCACAATCAGGTGAGTCGTTTTCTCCTAGGGTTTTTTTATATCACTTCAGTGGCATGCGTGGCGATTAAAGGAATGCTCATTCTCTTGGAGTGATATATCTTTGCAGATCATCAGTATATCGTTAAGCTGCCATCCACAGTCATCGTGGTCATCTGTCTTTAAAACTTACTTGAGGCTTTTTCCTGGGAGTGTCAGCTTAGCATTGCGGTACGTTAGTTATAATAGAGAGTTGTAAATAAAAACAAGATAATACAAATCACTTTATTTGATGAAGTGTTGAAGTGTTCAGCACCACTGTACTAATAGACCTTTTTCGACTGGGCGGTTTGTTGCCCCATTTCAAACCATGTGATGATACTCTTGAGAATTCTTCCATATGAACAAATAATTTTTAGATGGATAAAAGAACAATTCTCTAGATAATATCACGTGGTCTGTAATGGGAAAACAAACCGCCCGAGCGAAAAAGGTCTATTGGGGACACTGAAATAAACAAACAAAAATTGCAAATTGATCGTAAACTTGTTAAAAATCCCAACTGGTTGGAGGCTGACTAGTTGGCTATTTACAAAAAGTGAAGGAGTTGAATCTGGGACCACCTAACACTATTCCATCTATAGTAGCATGGAGGAGGATTTGAACTTGAACACTAGGTTACGCCGCCTTCTGTTATTTCTTGAGGAGACGCCTTTCACTTTCAAAGCAGGCATTTCCAATGTCGTTGCTTTCCGTTAAAAATGACTTTTTCAGGATTTCGAACATAGTCCAGTGTTTCAGCCAGAAAATTTTACTTGAGGGCCAAAGTGGCCCCTCAACATCTTTTTTTGGGGCCAATTTTTTAGGAAAGGGGCCAATAAACTGAAAGCTAGAGGGAAAAAATGCATCAGGGTACCAAGGAAAATAAAGCAGTTTATTAGGATCTATGATAAAATTTAATAGTAAGTGCTTTTTGAAGTGTTTCTACTC